ATATACAAAATATATCGTTTAATTTTACATATTCCAAAAATCCAACATGTATAATGTAAGCGGTACAACATCAATTAAAAAAAATTGTGTTTTTTTTATATCAGAATTGAAATACGAATTTTCTTCGCCTACACGTTTTGACATTACTCGATGCCGAGTGGATTATCGACGCGATAAATTTTCTGAAATACCTGTAGCGCAGATTTTTTCGATCGCATCGAGGATGCGAGCTCGGCGAGAGTCAGCTGATCAGGATTAGTGCAGGCGCGTGCGTACGGTGCAACGCTTCCCGATTGGTCGATATCTCGGCTAGGACGTGCAAGGTCGTCCGGGCTGTCAAAATCAGCTGACGCCGGAACAACCAATCAGCTGACGCTCAAGCTTAGGAGAATCCCCCACCGTCGGGTTTAAGCTCTACACGCCGCCCGATTTTTTGTCGGATTTTCCGCGATACTCACTTGACGTAAATTTGATTTGATTCGTTAATTGAATGATCGAAGTATTCTCGAGATATCAGTTATTTATGACGCAGATAATCAATTCTTTTGAGTGATTTGAGATTCTCTTTAAAGTGCATAATAAACAGACAGTATTAAATATTTTTAATTTGAAAAATGTTAAATTTTCTACTTGTCTATTCTGTTTGTTGCAACATATACATTTATTTGTCCACGAATGTTGTATTAGCTCAAGTATATCGTTTCACCAAATTGAGAATTAAGATAGAGAGAACAAGAGAGAAACGAAACTTGACAAAATCTATGTTTTGATATAATTAGCTCCAACACTGCAGTCTCAAATTAGATGTTGGATTCGTATTATATAAATGCAAATTTGGCTCTTCGATTACGCGTCATTGCGTTCAAATATCACATGTTTCGTAGGCGGTAAAATCATGCTGACTGTAAATTATGCGTTCGTATGCGCAATACGTCTCGTAGCTTTTCTTCCTTGTGAGTCACGTCCGAGCGTCGTTCCACGGTCATGTGTTCCTCTTAATATCGCGGGGCACGGCCCAGGATCGCGTCGGAAGGCGGCGTGTGTCGACGCGGTCGACTCGAACGGAAAATTTAACCGCCACGTCATCCGACGTTGGCGCTGCAGCGAGAAAATTCTCGGGCGAATGGGTAAAACTGTCACGGAACGGCCACGTTACGTAAAACTACACGGCGGAATTGTGGCATGCGGCATTTTTGGCAGGCGACGTGCAAAAACATTTCCTTCTCTTTTTCGTGGCGCGTGCGTGTCTCTTTGTGTGCGTGTTATTGGCACGATCTCGACAGGTATTATGCGCCGAGAGCCGCATCGACGCCGCAGGCGGCTGGCCCGCCGGTGTATATTCACGGAGCGACGTCGCAACTCTCGGCTTTTCTCGATTTCGACGTTTTCCGAACGAACCCTTTCCGATTCAGATAATGTATACATTGAGCGGGATAAATAGCATTATAATGATTCGAAGAATGAAGGTATTTTATTTAAGGGAATTTTTTCTTTATAAAGAATAAAAATAAATACTGAATCTTTTTAAAGGTCAAAGGATATTCTATTAAGTACATTTTTTTAAGTAGAAAAAGATTTTTTTGGTTTATTTAGGACCCATATCTCTGATGTACACAAGTAGTACACTAGAGTAGGCGCTGCGAAAAGGCGGTCGCCATCTCGTCTGACAGCAATTCGGTTCATGCGGTTCATCTGAAATAAAAAAATCAGAAATTAAATAGTGATGGCTATAGTCCGATATGTGGAATGTTTTAAATTGAAAGTTTCCTTTAATTTTTGTTAACAATCTAAAAAAATCTGACTTTTCGGGAAATTAAAAAATTTTTTTCAGAGGTTCGTCATTTTTTTATTTTTTTGAGATATTAATGTTCCCTTTTCTTTATCACTCACTTGACGCACGAATAAAAATGCAATAGTTATATTAAGCTTTTGTAATATCAAGTAACTTTATATTTTCTGCGTTAATCACCGTGTTGCAATTGTTAAAATGACTGTGATATTTAGTGCGAGCGCCGTGGTATAATAAGACCGTTAAAAGGTTAACTCTCGTCTATAATACGCTTTTGCGTGTTCTAAAATTTCTCATTTTAATCTCTTTACATTAATAAGTTCGAGCGAGAAAATTGTTTTTCTCTAAAGTAGACTACATTTCCGAGTGGCTGCGTTGACCCGTATAATGCAATGCCGCGATAGTGCGTTCTTAGTGAACTCGTAGCCTACTCTCTCGTGGCCTTGTACTTTAGAGGTTGTGAATATATTACACGTATAACGAACGTGCGGGAAGAGGAAGAGAGCTATACTCATCGTCACGTAACGTATGCATTACGCAATCGCGCCGCGTTTGTTGTGTTTATCAACAGCTGATTCGATTTTCTTGAGCCCTCTATTTAAAATCTTTTCCGGATTCTTTTCGGGAATTATCGCCCACGAATAATATTAAGGCTTGACTTAAAAAGAAAATTTTACGTGACTTTGTTGTACTGGCAATCTTGTATTCAAGTTACATCGTTTAACATCAACATTTTCAATTTTAGTATATCATTTTAGTATATCTTTTTATGGATAATAATAATCTTTATATTTTATATGAAAACGTGTAAGAAGTATGTAGGTAATGTAGATATGACAAGTATATGGTGTGACATTATTACGAATTTATTTTAAAGTGTTATTAATCAATTGTGTCAAGAGTGTCAGTGCGAGATGGGTGTAAGAGATTAGCAAGCAAAGTCGCGTTATAACATTCGCGAGCGATACATCGATTCTGCCCAATCATGAGCGTTTAAACTGATGCCGACGTCATTCGTTGCAAAAGGGGAGCCAGCCCGAGTTGCTAAATTACGGTACGTTAAAATATCTCGTGGTTGAATCAAGCATTACTTCTCATCTCCCGGTAGCTATTTTAAAGAGTCAACGTATAGTCGGATCAACGTATAATCGGATAAGTTCAACAGCTTGTGATAATAACTCGTTTTATTTCAATTTACTTCATTATATCTTTCTCATTTGCCTGAGACTACGATATTATAATTTACTATTTTTACTATTCCGAAATATATAATTGAATGTTTGTTTTTTTTTTTCCGTTACATAGGGAACTCATTTAACGTGAATTGAATTCACGTAACATTAGAGATTGATCAAAAGATCATTTATACGAGATTTGCGAGAAAGGAGCACCTGCGCAGGTAATTTCCTTCCTCGATATCATTGTGGGTGGGTGTTAATACCAAGTTACCGCCAACACTCACAGGCTGGCTCTCTCTCTCTCTCTCCACCCGGATGCGAGCCAGGCTCCCTCCGGTTCCCAGGGGTGACCCAGTTTCGTTTATCCCCTCGGAGCCAGCCCACACCTGCCTGGCGAAAACACCTCCCTCGTGCACACCTACGCGCGTTTGCCACGAGCTATACTCACTTTTACTCGGTTTTCTCGTTTTTGATTCTATATTATTACACCGTTTGCACGTGTCGCGCCTACCTCACGTAATTAGTATTTATCGCATTATGGAGAGAATAGCGCTTTGAAAATTTCAACAGTCTACAAGTCTGTTTCATTCATCTATTTTTTATAGATTATATGATAAAATGTTGAGTGTGTATGCGATAATTCGATTTCTAATAAATCAAAATGTCTAATGTAATGTAATGCAAAAAATGATACGTAATTTATAATT